TGGCTAAAATAGTTCCTATGAAAACGAGTTTTGCCAGAAGGCAATTTAAAAGTCAGTCTGCTTATCTCTATAACTACATCAATAAACATTTAAATATATATTCAATGACCCAGTACAATGTGAAAAAACACGTTACAGTGTGGTTAAAGACAATAGGGTATGATGAAGCTGAAAATTTATTAAAATAAGTACATCAATGTACACCATGGCATAAAAACTTACAACAAATACTATAACACACAAGCAAACACAAGCAAACACAGGCACACACACACACACACACACACACACACACACACACACACACACACACACACACACACACACACACACACACACACACACACACACACACACACACACACACACATGCACGCGCGCGCACATTTAATCTTTATTATCTTATAAGTATCAACAAAAAATTGTTATGGAAGAGCGGGGTCCCCTAACACAGGTATTGATATACTTAAAAGGAGATCCCAGCCTAGTTAATGTATTTAAATTTAAGATACTGAATAAAGAATTTTGAATTTTGAATTAGAATTTTTTGAATTTTGCTATAGTGTACCAGATTTTCAACCGACTACAAGAAAAGAGGAGATACTCAATTTGACTGTATTTTTGTGTGTTACCTCAGATTTCTAGGTGAACCGATTTTGATGACTCTTTTTTTATTCGAAAGCTGCATCATGTAGTCGTAGTTTTTGATTTATCCTTAATAATGCGTATTTAATTGACTTCGACTAGATTGATGATGTTAACATTTTATTTATATTGTAGTTGTTGTACCAAATATTTAATTTTACCACTTGTTCAGCTAGGATTTGGGAAGTGAGAATTCATTGAAATTAATAAAGAAAAGTAATAAAAATAAAAGAAAAATATAAGTAAGGAAAAATAAAAAAAAAATAAAAAAGAAGAAAAGAATTCGAATATTCTTTTCTATTCTAAATATCATTATGAAAACGAAAACTTGCTTGTCGCTCGTAGCTGAACTTATAGATCTTTTAATATCATCCAAGGACTTGTAGCCGTCTGATTACACAAAATAATTAATGTATCCTATTTTTGCTGTTTCTCGATCTTTGATCTTATAACGCGTATTAAAAAGTAATGGTCTTAGCAAGCGAATGTGTCTAACATTCTCCGTTGCTGTCTGCTTCAAATGATCACATTATTTGGTCACTTTAATTTCAGAAGTTGAAAAAGCAAATACAGCTTAATGCGGTAAAACTAAATATTAAAAATATATGCAACTCTATTTAAGATTTTAATAATAAGTGGCACTATTTAAAGATGAAGCTTTTTAAAAAACATGCTAAAATTATAAGTTTTTCTACATTTCTTATTCACATATCTTCTATTTTCCAAGTAAAAAACAATTTGTGTAATTTTCCATGGTAACATTAGCCTTGACCTTGACATTTGATAAGTAAAATATAATGTGAAAGTTTTATCTTTTTTTTATATTATAGAGTGACTAACGAGCACACAGTACGTGATTTTAAGTGGTTGCTGTTACCCATAGACATCTACATTTATCCTCAATAAAGAATCAAAATGCAGCTGTGTCGTCAACCGTGAGGACTAAAATGGAATGCCTCTTTTCCAGTAAAATGGGTCTCCGGTTCTTTACACTCACCATACGAAACGCAGCAGTATCAAGCTGTCATTTTACGCTGGTATTATGTGAGAGCGTGGTCCTTCCCCGGTCGAGCCGACCCATTCGTGCTACAACTATACTACCAATATAGCTGCAGCATGGCTCTATTGTCGTGTAAAATACACACAAATGTTGTTTTATTTGGCAAAGTAGTGGGAAGCAGTTAGCATAGGCTAAAGGCTGAGTCGCTAGTTTTCAGGAGCCAACAATGTGGCAAAAATACTATTAAAGCCATTAGTGCGCCCTGATAGTAATTGGCACTACTGCAGCCCATCGACAATCCCCCCCCGTACGGGTTCCCGCCTTGTCGTGGAGGGGCGGGGGGGGGGGGGTTAGTAGCCGTGGCTTGGTCAACCGCGGTGAACAAAGAGGAACCTCTTGGCTGGCCCGTGGTGTAGGGCCGGCCTGAGGTGGCAACTCCGAGTGGGCTTGACGAGCTCACTTCGGATGTGTGTCGGTGGGCTGCGGTGAGAGGGGTGTCCGCTCCCCCATACCGCTGCAACCGAGGTGGAGTTGCGGAGGAAGAGGAGAGTTGGTATGCCGATGCGCCAATCGCCCTATCTTCCGAGACTCTAACGGGGCTGCACCGTTGATGAGGTGATGGTGGGGCCGGGGGGGGGGAGGGGTAGTTTCGGTATTGCGAGATGCCGCTCTCTCTACCCTCCGCCGCCAAATCTTGGTTGGCAGCGGAGCCAGAGACCAGATCCGCCGCTGGGGTCGGGAAAGCGGGTGCTCTATATTTCTGGCCCCATGACCTCTGCGTATTAGACTCGTGGGGGTCTGATACGCAGGTGGAGTTGGGGGCCGTAGAAGGGGCGTGCCTTGTGTTACTGGTGCGCCTTTGCATGATGAGAAGGAGAATGGGTAGGAGAGGTCCTCCCCCGAGAAGGGAGACCGGCGCTGGTGGGGTCGCGGATGTGTGCGAAGAAGTTCCCGTGGCCCTGCCAATATGCGGCGAAGGTGGAACACCATGGGGTATTAGTCGGTGCGAGTCTGACAAAACCAGTCCATGCCCCCGCGAGGTGGGTATGCGTAGGCATTACCCCATGTTATAAAAAAACCCAACGACAACTGCATTCAACTCCCAATTTAAAAATCAGTCAAAGTGAAAGTGAAAAAAAAAAGTGTTAATGTCTTGTAATGTTTTAATTTTAAATAATTTTATTTTTAATCAATAAGCAGAAGAAAGTAGAGGGAAGGTTTGTATTTCGATTTAATTTTTATTCGTTGGGTACATATCAAAAACATCTTATAACTAGAGAACCGCCCTGGCTTCGTACGGGTGATTTCTAAATCTCGACAACAACCTCACCTACCGAATCCAATTCTTAATCTAAATCATCCATCATAACTCAAATACACACAAAGAAATTCATCAGAATCGGTCAAGAAAATTTTGAGTTTTAGCCAGAGTAACGGACAGCAATTAATTTTTATATATTGAGATTAAACGTAAAAAAAAAGCGTAAAATTTGTTTTATTCAATGTGTAGGATTCGCGTAAATATAAGAAACCGTTAAACTACATGAGCGTTGTCACCTTTATGAACTAAAATGTGTGTGTTCATAGTGATACAGTGGAGGTGGAGGCACTTCTAATTAATAGATTAAAAATAAATATGTATGGTGGTGGTTCTACATAAATGAGCTTCAATGCAAAAGAGGAAAAGTCCTTACCTAGTCCTAGTTCAATGTCTTATGATTACATTTCCCTGACACTGCATCCTAGCCGACCTCCGATCTTATCTCACAAATGTTACATTAAATGCGCGTGAGCTATGAGTGAATGTCTCTGTATTTTCACATACACTTTTGGATATAATATCTTTTTGTATTCAAAAGATGTTGCTGTGGTCAGAAGCCGACAAATATACTACATACACGTCATCATTATTTATGTAAAAAGTTAAAATGCATTCCGAAACCTTTTCAAATGTACCTAATAAAGAACTTTCCTCAAACAAGTGTCTCATAATGATTTAATTTTAACATTTACCAAGTAATATGTTCGTATAGAACGTCGTAAATTTTATTTTCGGACAAACGTAATCAAGTCGTCTAATACAAAGAAAAAAACAGCAAGTCTAATGATTCGTCCCATTTAATTCATGTTGGAAATGCTTTTATTTATACAAAGACAAATTGCTTTCAAAAGATACTATGTGGTAAATTTTTGAGGCTAAAACAAATGGAGTTTGTGGATTATAATCTCAAGTCGTGCGACATTTTTTTAAGAATGGACGACAAAAACATTATATAAATTCACCCCTAACAAAAATAAATACGGTACATAATACAGTAACGAAACGCCCCAATACAAGCAACGGTTTGAGCAGACATTTTATGGTACGGTCTCATTTGGCGTGAAGTTCGCAGCTGACGGTTTGTCTGAGTTAGTTCACATGCACAATACTCTTTTAAAAGGAGAGGTCTTACATCGTATAAAATGTTGTGGAAGTTTTTGTCGTATATTTTTTTTTTATAGGATAAGGGTGACAAACGAGCACACAGTCCACCTGATGGTAAGTGGTTGCTGTGGCCCATAGACATCTACGTCTATCCTCTATTACAAATCAATATGTAGATGCGTTGTCACCCGTGAGGACTAAGATGGAATGCCTCATTTCCAGTAAAGAGGGCCTCCGGCCACCTGCACTCACCAAGCGAAACGCAGAGGTAAACCTCTACTTCACGCTGGTTTTCTGTGAGGTCGTGGTACCACCCCGGTTCGAGCCGGCCCATCCGTGCGACAGCAAAAGCTGCCGCGTGGCTCTACCACTGTTAAAAATATCTTCTATAGATAAGAACGCAATATTCATTCGACGATTTGTTCTGTTACAAAATAATTAGCTAGTATTTGGTGGTAAGTTACATCGGGTGCTAACTTGACGAATGCTTTGTGAGGAGTAAAACCTGACTCTGATTTGTAGCTTAATTAGTGAACTATTAACCTTGCAACAAAGTTAGTGCGCTTTTACAATTCACTCTTTCAAATCCTCCCAAAATGACAAATCGTGTAGTACACTATCAGAGGTCTTTGATAATGAAAAAGATGAGCATTTCGTAAGATCGAGGTTCTTCCCTGGTCTAACCAACCCCACAAGCCATGGCTGAACAGCACTATTAATCAGGCTTACTGCTTCTCATTTTGCTTGTATGTATAGCAAACAAAACAATATAGCTGTGGTCGAACTCTTCAGCTACGTCCACTAGTACGAATTCACCTCGATAAACTTTAAAATGTATTTTCACAAAATCTTAACATGGCCAACTTTAAAGGCATTGGAAAAATTTATTATGAAACGATTAATTATTCTGTTAAATCATTTCTAAATTACCGTGGGAGGTGAGGCGGGAGTTGATACGCGATGTGATACTGCGAGCCGCCTCCGTGGCGTCGGGGGCGCGCAGCTGGAACGCACGGAGTCTCTCGAAGAGGCACTCCGCTGACGCATCTTCCGCCATCCGATAAGCTGCACACAAGATAATATATTATTAAAACGAATCAATACTTGCATTTATAGTGCCAGACAAGAACTTATCTGCTAGATATGTTTGATATCGGTGTTTTTATAAAATGTATCATTCTATTCATTCAGAGGTATTATCCGAACCAGTGGTAAATAAAAAATGACTTTCAATAATGTATTATGAAATAATCAATATTGAATAAAAACCATTCTATTCTATTCATCCAAGTTCACCTTTTTTAATGTCTTCCAAGTTATAAAATAAATTGAAACCATTTATAATTTACTTTTACAGAGCAAGTTATAGTATGTTTTGAGAGAAATTGATTACCGTTTTTAACAACTGTCTGATAAGGAAATCTGCTGTAAATATTTTTGCTACGAATATTTAATATAATACAAAGAACATTTTTTTTAGGACAGGGTGACAAACGAGCACACAGTCCACCTGATAGTAAGTGGTTGCAGTGGCCCATAAACATCCACATCTATGCTCGATTACAAATCAAAGTGCAGAAGGGTTGTCACCCCTGAGGACTAAGATGAAATGCCTCGTTTCCAGTAAAAAGGGTCTCCGGTTCTCTACACTCACCATACGAAATAGCAGCGTTGAGTTGCTATTTTACGCTGGTATTCTGTGAGAGCGTGGTCCTTCTCCGGTCGAGCCGACCCATTCGTGCTACAACTATACTAATATCGCTGCAGCATGGCTCTACCATGTATCTTTATATAATAGTTTTTATGCAATTCCCGATTAAAATACATGGACTATACTGTAAGCATTATAAAAACTTAAAGGGCCTGTTAAGTGTTTAGCGTTGAAAACCAAATTGTTAAAGAGGTAAAAGTCGGTTTGAACATGTGCTGCTAATCAACTGCTAATTTTTACTTCATTTCATCAGCCCGTAAATGTCTACTGGGATATATGGATAGGAGAGGCCCACGCTGCAGACATCCCAATATAATAAAAATATATTTAAGAATAAAACATCAAATTAAATACGTCCCATTGCAGGACACTTTATTTTAAGTTCAGGATTTTAATTATTTCGTAAAATAGGAAGTAAATAGACTATATATAACTAGTAATACGACTGTGAAGTGGACTTGAAATATTTCACCTGCTAGGTTCCCTCACTATTTTTCATCCACCTTCAAGCACACCGGAAAGGGCAGTAAAAATTTCATATAATATCGCATCATATTGTTCGCGTGTAGTTAAATTTTAAAAGAAAAACGAACTAAGCGCTAGTATAATGTCTTGTTGTGTAATATTTATATAATAATATATAATACAAAAAACGGGGAGCAGTGTAAATGTTCGAGACGACTGGTACTGCTATCGCCAGTACGTCTGTCGAGAATGTCAATGGCAAATCATCCTTACGATACAACGAGAGAGATACAAATGTGGACAAATCTAAACAGGCTGACAAAGACGCGAAATATTAAAACATTATTATTATTTTGTTTTTAATTTTTTTATAAGTATCTTACATTTTCAAGTCGGTTGGACAGAAGTTACTGGTAAAGATGAAGGCTTAATTAACTATAATTTTTCATAAAATTATTTTTTATATTCGAGTTTTATCAAGCTTTTCAAGTGACTATTATTGAATTATTAATAAATTTGCATTTAAAATTACAATTTCCATCCATCCATTACAGCTTATAAAAGTCCACTTCTGAACAAATGCCTACCTCATAGATTGACTTTTGGGGGGATTTTAACATAGTTGTCACGCTTGGCAAGTGGGCTGGCAACCGGTTTTTTTTTATTTGTTAGCAGGATGTTGCAGCCCATCTCCTGTATCATTTTCCCTCTGTCGCCTCTTACGACATCCTCTGGACGATATGGGTGGTGGATATTCTTAAAACAAATTAAAATTTCTGATAGCGATATAAAATAATGAAATGACGTAATAAATATCATGTTTACACTCGATAGAAGTATCTAGATCGTCGACGGCTGTCATCGAAGTACGAGATAATTCACCTGCCAACCGTGCTCGGCAAATTCTTTTTTTATAGGGGAGGGGGCAAACGAGCATGCGGTTCACTTGATGGTAAGTGACTACCGCCGCCCATGAACAACCGCAACACCAGGGGAATTGCAGATGCGTTGCAGGCCTTTTAAAAAGTAGTTTTAGTAAGTACCTAGTAATTCTTTTAACCATGGAGGAAAATCATGAGCAGCTGTGAATTGTTTACACCAGTCATGTCAAACATCCGGCCCGAATCGCAACGGATCATCTAAAGATATTACTTATGCGATAATATTTAGTAAATTCGTTGATGGCACAATTATACGCGTATTTTATTGCACGTTTTTTCATCTACGCTTCCTGACCTTGAGTTCCTAATTAAAGATCGATTTTATAATTATTTCTTGCGTAAATTTATTTTAAGACTGGTCAGTAAGCATATCCTTAATTTTGTAAATGGTGCCATAAAAAATCGAGTTTGACGGCCCTGGTTTACGCGGTTAATTTTAATGATGACGATGGGAGATTGTAGGAGTAAAATTATTTTAGCATTTTTGATACTTGGTTTATAAATATACAATATATACTACTACATATATAATAATTATCATTATAATTATAATAATATTTTACATTACATAAAGTAGAATGATTAAATAAATTTTAACGAGTCTCCTAAAAAGCAAAACTAAAAATAATTAATAAACATTACAAACCATCGCATCAGGCTGCTATGTCTCTATTTATAGTTAAATATGATTTCTACCACAGAATACAAGTGTAAGGGTAGGTTTAAAAAAATCTTGTAGTGTATAAACTGAGTGTGACGTTTAATTGTTATTATTCATGTAATGGGAATGAATTATAACAAAATGTATTTTCTTAAAACTTTTTATGTTCCATATACTATCATTCAATTAAAGTTTATAAATAAACATGATTCCGGTACTTTCTCTAAATCACAACAACAATGATTAATGAAATATGCATTAAAATGCTAGCAAAACAGCGGCAATGTAGAGCGACTAGTGGTAAATACAGATTAAGTGTTATCGTGAATGTAGGTTAAAACAGAAGATAGAATTTAGATGGCTAACGTATTATTAAGAACAATGGACTCGCTTGCAAATGCTTGGAATTTTGACGTGGAACGTACGTGCGTGAGTGCGTTGGCGTAGTGGTGTCCTTTTGCTGGGGGGGTTTGAATGTGACGGTTTAATTGTAAATAAACAGTGTACTGTGTACAGTTGGGACGCGACTGTTGCGAGCTCAACGTCCCGCGGCGGCTGCCGGCCGACTAATACTGAAGGGAAAATCGGCGCGCGACGTCGCACTTCTGGTGCCAAATAATATTTTTTCCCGAGTAAACAAATCAAATAGCAGAGGGTAACATTAGTCCGCTAATAGGTGAAAAACACCTTGTATAGAATAATCATCAATTTTAACACATAATAAATAATTGTATATTATAATCACATTTTGAAGACGACGGCACTTTTCTCGCACAATGTTACAGGTTATAAATATTAATATATACGCTGTGCTTTTGTGCTGTGCTTTTAGCAGAGTACTTGTGAAGGGCTGTATGATGGTGATGATGATGATGAAGCTTATGTTAAAGATAATTCACGTTAAATGACTAAAAGAAAAAACATATAGTTTTTACGTGGTAGAGCAATGCCGCAGCTATATTAGAAGTATAGTTGTAACACGAAATGGTCGGCTCGACCGGGGAAGGACCACGCTCTCACAGAATACCAGCGTAAAATGGCAGCTTGACACTGCTGTGTTTCGTATGGTGAGTGTAGAGAACCGGAGACCCATTTTACTGGAAAAGTGGCATTCCATCTTAGTCCTCACGGGTGACGACGCATCTGCATTTTTGATTCTTCATTGAGGATAAATGTAGATGTCGATGAGCTCCAGCAACCACTTACCATTAGGTGGACTGTGTGCTCGTTTGTCACCCTATCCTATAAAAAAATATAGTCGAATTGAGATTCTCCTCTTTTATTGAAGTCGGCTAATAAAACTTAAAACTTAAAATAATACAATAATAATAAATACATTAAAAATAACTTGGCACTTGATTTGCCCAATCTCTTGCGAGTACAAGCGTCTTCAGATAAAATAATATCTATAAATAAATATATTTTTAGGCGTGATATTTAGGCTAGTTAGGTGTAATATGGATATGATGTAACGCGAGAAACCAGGGTTCGATCCCAGCCGACAGCAATGAAATTATTAATTGCAGTTTTAAGTGCTGATTTACCATGTACTCAGCGGTAAAAGAATACATCGCGATGAAACTTGCATGTCTAAGAAATTAAAAATATATATTTCGAAGGCATGTGAAGTTCGCCAACGCGCATTAGGGCAACAAAGTAGACATTTCCTTGCTCTGAACAGCCTCTTAGAAGTGAGAGGAGGCCTGTGCCCAAGAGTGGGACATACATAGATAGTGACTTTTATTTTAAAAAAAATATTCCATTCAGTACATTCCCAATAAAACATACTATGAAAAGGTGTAAACAGGCTTGATGGCTGTTGGATTAAAAAAAATTGGATCAAGTTCATTCCACCTTCGAACTCTAGTAATTTCTTTTTAGATCAGTATAAACAATAAGTTTAATAAAATGTTACTACAATTCCACGTATATGGTATTATATTATTGTAAATATATAGTATTGTATAAATGTAAGTATAGTATCATATAAATGAAAATAACACTTGGAATACAGGAAAAGATTTGAGAAAAGTCCATGAGCTTAAGAAGTAGTAGTTCTGTGCGATTTTTTAGAAGATTTCTTCCTCGCACAACTTCCTTGTGGAATCGACTACCACCAGCGATTTTGCCAGAACGATACGACTTAAGGAAATTTAAAAAAGAGCCCACTCTTTATAAAGACCGGTACCACATCATATAGATAGGACATAAAAACTGTCTCCAGCGAAACTTACATTAAGGATTTCCATTTACCATTAAGCATAGCTATGTTAAATGAACTTTAAAAATAAACTTTAAATGTTACCCAAACAACTTACGCCTTATTTATAAGTTTCAAGTTATTAATGTTCCTTAGTCACTTACATTTTCTTCTTGTTTTTTTGGCGACGTAGCTGCGAACAAAAGTATCGGTTGCTGCAGACACTTCCTGAAATTGAATTTGTATTTCTAAATTAGAACAGGAGAGTCTGCCCTTAGTTGGACATAGACATTAGATTAGCGCAGCGCAGATGGATAATATAAATCATTACAAACCTGACATTTTTCATTCATGACACAATGTTGCTTTTAATATGAAATTTCTCTTAATACCGTGATGTATTTCATTTCCGATAACGCCTAGCTTTAAATTTAACTTCATATAACCAATTATGTATGTAATAACTCTAAGAACCAATTATAACCTTTAAATTAAATGTCTCAGATCCATTGACATTTGAAATATGTCACTTATAAATTATGCTCATGGCCTGTATCTTTGTGTCATTATTGGTGAGTTCATGTTATTATGAATGCATATAATACGGGGTTTTTAATTGATAGTGCTCGAACTTTGAAATGAACTAAAACAACCTGTGTAAGTGATATTTACAACTTTTATTTTATTTTAAATGAGATGACGAACCCCTCGAACTTATCATCCAATAAATTCAATGTTTACAGTGCAATATGACAAGTGGCGCCATCCTTTTGGAACCACGTGTTTGTGAGATCTGTCTGTGGTTGCTGGGTTTTAGCTTTTAAGTTAATTGAACTTTGTATGGACGAAAACCCAAGTATCGAAGCAAAATCCACCAAGTTAATGTTGCAAAAAGACCTAGCTCTTGCGGACGACGCGGAATATACCGTCTGGGATGGTACGTTTGGAACAGTGTGCGAGAAGCACACTGTTCCAAACGCTAACAATATTCTCCTATGATCTTGAGTTTCTTTGACGTATAGCCATGCTTCATCGATCACCGACTCGGTTGTCTCAAATTTATTCATTGAACAACGGATTGTGGACTATGCAGGACGGCCATGAATACCATAAATTAGACACAGCGCACGGAACGTTAGGCAAAGAGAATACTGATTTTGATAATAAATTTTAACAATTTCAACGTAGCGTGGAACTAAATGAAACTAATTTTTTCGGATTTTATCGCGTTTAATTTAAATTTATAATTCCCGACGTTTCAGGTATTTTAGAGCACCCATGGTCAGGGGTGGGGGTGGGGGGGGGGGGGGGGGGACAGAGTCTCTGTAAAGCACCCGAAACGTCGGGAATTAAAAAGTTAAATTAAACGCGAAAAAATCCGTAAAAAAATTAGTTTCATTAAGAAATCAGTAGCGTGGAATGTCAAAACCAAATAGTATTTTTGTCAAATTTGACAACTATCGCTTTACCAAGATGGAGCTGTCAAAGTTCGACCGTCCCTATTGAAAAACCCTTGAATATGACATTACAAGCTTAAAATTTAATTAGATACCCCTATTTAAGTAGTTTTCGTCGGTAGTGATTTGTATCATTATCATCATTACATCCCATCATAAGTACACTGCTGAACAAAGACCTCACACAAGGACTGACAAAAAGAATGGGCCGGAGTAAACTGCATCCATCGACTTCTTGCATCTCTTACCAAATTGTCACTCCATCAAGCATGTCCAAATTCAAGCGACAGTAGTCAATTTAAGCGATAGTAGCCTGATTTGCAGGGTGCGCACCGCGAACTCAAATGGTCGAGGGTTCGAATCCAACATTGTACTACTGTGGTGTACCACTCCTACCACGAGCTTTTTAAATTTACCAGGAGTGATGGAAGGATTGCTAGTATTTTTTAAAGTAAAAAAAAAATTGCAAAGGAGTTATGGGTCTGGGAAGTTAATTAAAACATTATTGAAACCCAGTTTTAAAAATGCAAAATTCATTACTTTGTTCTTTGTTCAACTTTACTCCAGTTTTAATTACGAGTCGAGCACGGTTCACTAAATGTGCGGCTCACACTGGATTGATTTATTAAAGTTTTATATATTCTTCAACTGGTAATGTCAATTTTATAGCGTAATAATTGTATTTAATAATATATATAGTTATATATTTATGTGCCTTCATAACGTCTTTCTACCACAACTATAATAGATTTGAATTAACAAAAATGTATTTTTACATAAGAAATAAAATAGAGCATGGCTAAACATCGCATGGTGGCGGCGCGGCATGAGTTTTTTTTTAATTTAGTCCATGTAGGTACATTTTGTGTCCAAACATGATAGCTACAGAGACCCTTTCAGCTATTTTCCAAGTTTCGGCCAATGTTAATTCCTTTTCGGTTTCTAATAATGTACTGTCTATATAACTTGTATACAAATACGCACAGTGGCGTTTTTAAATTAAAAGTTACTTTGTGCGTTATAACGAAAAACATTTAAGAAAAATGAGAAGTTTCAAGAATTTTTCAAGATTTTACAAAACTTTTTTGTTTTATTATTTTAAGCAAATGCAACGTAATGCTGTGATAATCCCTACAATGCTAAGAAAAATTTAAAACTATTGCAAAAATTTAAAAAGAAGTAAATCGTAAATTATAGAATAAAACTGACTTCTCCTTAGGCAACTATTTCCGCGCTGAGGCAGTCACATTATATCTGGAAATGGTATAGGCCTATATTTTGTTACATATACTTAAAATATATATTGTCATGTTATGATTTCTTATGTTTACGCGAACACTACACATTTAAATAAAACTAGTTTTTACGGATTTTATTGCGTATATTAACATAAGTTAATAAACTAATATAAGTTAATATACACTTTAAATACGTTAAAACTAGTTTCATTTAAATATTATCATATTACTTAATGTAGCACTTAAAGTAGTTTTATCAATTAGTAACTGGGCAAACGTGCTTTGCTCGGCGTTAGAAAATAAATTATAAGGGATGACACATATACACAATAAACTTGGAAGATAAAATATAATCTAAATACAAAACTTTATCTAAGTTTGTAGAGCAGTTTCCAAAAAACAAATTCCAAAAAAGTATATTCGCAGCCTAATTAGGCCTCTTGTAATTTCTGAGAGAGTTTAAAGGCAAGGAAGTGTCCGCCTCGTTGCTCCAAATGCGTGTTGACGAATTTCACATATTATCTTCAAAATATTTTTTTTTTAATTGCACACCACGCGAGCAATCTAGGTTCAATCTCCAACGACACCAATAAATTGTTGATTACAATTTTAAGTGCCGATTTACCATGTGCTCGGCGTTAAAAAAAACTGGTTCAAATAACTACAAGAATTG